GGAGGTGAGAGAGCAGGATCCAGAGGGGCAGGTCTTTGAGGATTGAGTTTGGCTCTGGATTTGGGCCCCATCTTGGCATGTGCCAGTTGGGTGAGGTTTCCCTGTCATGGATGTGTTGCCATGTGGACTTGGGCATTTTTCCTGTGCCTATCTGGGGGCTCTGGCAGGGTCCTCGCACAGTTGTCCTCACAGGTGGAGCCCTACAGAACTGCATGCCCTCTACCCTCTGCACTACATTGGGCCCACCCCATCCCACACCCCTGCCTGTCTTATCTCTTGGCCCTTCCTGGCCCTCGGGGAGGTGGGGAGCCCAGTTTCTCCTTGGGTCTCCTGCAGTATTTGGTGCACAGGAGAGCACCCAGAAATGGTTCCCTGGAACCTTCTGGCCAGAAAATCCCAACAAGCCTCTGCAGACTGGCCTGGTCCCACCATACTATGCCTTTCCAACCTGTGTCTGAGCATCACTGCGGGCCTCTTGCCTGCTTCTCTCCCCAGCCTTCCCTTCCAGGGTCTTTGTCATTCAGAAAGTGAGGCAGGCCTGTAGGTGCTGACCTCGCATCCCTTTTCCTCTGTGCTCCCTGAACTGATCCTGCCCCAGGTACAGCCTTTCACTGCCTTTTCTTCTGTTGATCTCTGTTTCTAAGGATTATGTTTACATTGCTGTTCTTTTTTTATTTTTTTATTTGATTTTTTTAATTATCTTGATCTTGAGAATTTAGCTCTCTCCAACCCCTCACCTTTATTTCCCACAAATTTCCCATATAATTATTGGTTTTGTAAAGTCATTATTTAGTGTTTAGACCAGGGGTGGGCAAACTTTTTGACTCGAGGGCCACAATGGGTTCTTAAACTGGACCGGAGGGCCGGAACAAAAGCATGGATGGAGTGTTTGTGTGAACTAATATAAATTCAAAGTAAACATCATTACATAAAAGGGTACGGTCTTTTTTTTTTTTAGTTTTATTCATTTCAAACGGGCCGGTTTCGGCCCGCGGGCCGTAGTTTGCCCACGGCTGGTTTAGACTATTAACATCCCATGAACCAAGTAGGGTCAGTCAGCTACATCTTTCATACAAAGCTTTTTCCTGTGAGAATTATGCCAACTGTGTTCTGCCCTGGGTGATGCCTCACTGGGGAGTGGGGGTTTCTGGGCATTGCTGGGTGGGGACTGGGTAGGGTCGTCTCCTGTCCTACATCTGCTTCACCTAGACTCCTGGGGTTTCTCTGTCTCTCTCCCAGATGGGTCTCTTAAGTTCCTGTTCCTCTATTCATTTCCAGGTTATTCTTTGTTTTATTTTGTTTTAATCCTCACTGGAGGATATTTTTCCAATTGATTTTAGTGAGAGTGGAGGAGAGAGAGAGGAGAGAGAGAGAAACATTGATGTTAGAGAGCCACATCAATTGGTTGCCTCCCACATACACCCCAATCAGGGCAGGGAACTTGCAATCCAGGTATGTGCCCTTGACCGGAATTGAACCCGTGACCCTTAAGTTCTCAGGCCAACACTCTAATCACTGAGCCATGCTGGCCAGGGCTCCAGATGTTTGTTCTGGTTCTCTGGTTCTCTGACACCATGTTCTGTTCTTTTTTTTTTTTTTTTGCGTGTATAATACTCTTCTGTCGTTAACACATTGTGCACCAGTAGTTTTATTGCTAGCTTTACCCAGTGGCCAGATAAGTTTCTATTGAACGAGTACAAAATAGGTTTTACAAAGTATCATACTTAGCTTGTAAGAACATGTAATAAATAACTTAAAAATGCAATGCGTATTTAATTTTAAGGCGTGCCTTTAACATTTATGTAAAACACTGTGTAATATGCAAACACGAGAATGCTCGTGATCCACCCGCAATGTGTTAAGAATGTGGTCTGGGGCTATTATTTTGTTTTCCCATTTCTTTCTCTGTGCCTTGAATTATCCGTTTGCTCTGCTCACTCTTTACCAATCTGGTGTGCTCATCCAGACATTTGTATGATCAGAGGGAGACCCCGGGCGGGGCACTGCAGGTATGGAGTACTGGCTACACCGTCTGGCACCTTCTTCCAGGTCAGGTCGGTCGTCTTCACTGAGACCCCTCCAGATGAGGGGCCCAGGGGGACCTCCCCAGACCCCTCACCTGCTAGTGTCCTGCCGCGTCTTTGTGGGCAGGTGCTCTTTCTTTTCCTGTGTGTTACTGGGAGGGGCAGGAGCTAAATAAATGGATATTGTTTCTTTTCACCTTCTTTCTCTTCTGAGTGGATCGGTCTTTCCCCCTGAACTGAAGCCTACCTCCTTCAATCCAGCTAACGCTCTCCAGTCCCTGTGTGCCCTTCCAGCCAGGAATCCTGGGACATGTCCTCTTCTGATGGGATTCTCCTTTCTCAGCCGCAGGACCAAATCACCATCACAGGGTACGAAAAGAACACAGAAGCTGCCCGGGATGCCATACTGAAAATTGTGGGTGAACTTGAACAGATGGTTTCTGAGGACGTCCCATTAGACCACCGTGTCCACGCCCGCATCATTGGTGCCCGTGGCAAAGCCATTCGCAAAATCATGGATGAATTCAAGGTGTGTCTTCAGCCCCACCGTGAAGGGTGTATGTTAGTCCTGGAAGCCCCATTGGTGAGATGGGCATACTCCCTGCTGTCAGAGCTTTCTTCCATGGGCTGGTAAGGGACACCAGGGCCTCAGTCTTCCTGCCGAGACTGCTGAGCACACTCACAGGCCAGCAGAGGTCTGAAAGGGCAGACATCCAAGACTCAGGTGCTCATCGCTAAGGCGGTGAGGTCAAGTGGAGTTACAGCTGTATAGTTGATGCCATTGGTCAGTGCCCTGTGCTAGCTCCAAAGGTTTGGCTGCCTGCCACCCCAGCCAATCCCTAGGAGGTATACACATCTTGGAGTTGGGGCCTCTACACCAGCTGCTTCTGCAGTGCACTGGCCTCACATGTCGTGAAGATGAGGGACCATGAACCAGGTTCTTAGGTTTCATGAACCCAAAGGGAAAACACTAGAAATGTACTGTTCCAGCCATACCTAATGGCCACTGTTTAGTCCAAAATCCTCTAATGGGCACTTGGAGCCACCTCAGCTGCTATGTGTGCTCCTTCCAGGTGGACATTCGCTTCCCGCAGAGCGGGGCCCCGGACCCCAACTGCGTCACCGTGACGGGGCTCCCAGAGAACGTGGAGGAGGCCATCGACCACATCCTCAACTTGGAGGAAGAATATGTGAGTTCTGGGGTCACATGAGGCCACATGCAGGTGTTTCAGATGCCTGCCAGGTGCAGGCGAGCCCCAGCGCCTCAGAGCAGGGTGAGCACAGTGGTGGATGCTCACGGGGAATCACTACTGCCAGCTGATCCCACCTGTGCCCACAGCTGGCCGACGTGGTGGACAGCGAGGTCCTGCAGGTGTACATGAAGCCCCCAGCCCACGAGGAGTCCAAGGCACCTTCCAAGGGCTTTGTGGTTCGGGACGCTCCCTGGACCGCCAACAGCAGTGAGAAGGTCAGACGGTGCTCATCCTGGGTGCCCTCCCTGTGCCCAGGGAGTGGGGATGCCTGCCACACTTACCCGCCAGTGGGTGGGCCCAGGGTCAGAGGGTGGGTCCATTTTGGAGCTGCCTGAGTGAAACTTGCTTAGTAAAGCTGTGCCCTCTCTGTCCCCACAGGCTCCAGATATGAGCAGCTCTGAAGAATTTCCCAGCTTTGGGGCTCAGGTGGCCCCCAAGACCCTCCCTTGGGGCCCGAAACGATAATGATCAGAAAACAAACCTCTCCAGCCTGCTGACCCAAACCCCACCACGCAATGGTTTGTTTCAATCTGACTCAGCAGCTGGACCCTCCATAAATTGTTGACGCTCCCTCCTCCCCGAGGTCTCACAGTGAAGCCGGGCGCCTGGCGCTGTGTGCAGCTGGTCCTCAGGCCTGGCCAGCGCCCGGCACGTGCTCAGGATCTGCCCTTGACACCGGCTATGGGCCAGCTTTCCACGGTTCAAACACTAATAGAGGCAATTGGACATTTCACGACAAGCTTCCTGGTCCACCGGCATGTCAATAAGGCCCTGGCCCCACTAAGAGTGCTGCACAGCTGGGGCTGAGCCCACTTCCTGTGTCGTGACCTCAGGAAATAAATTTCCTTGACTTTAGAAAAGCCAAACGTTTGCCCTCTTCCTTTCCCAGCTCTCTCTCCCTCTGCCTGTAGTCCAGCCCTCTATAGACTGCAGTCCGCCTCCTTCCCACTGCCAAAGCCCGCACATCCCAGACCACAGGGTGGGAGGAAGGCCCATTGTGCACACTGGAGCACCTGGACCCAGAAAGGGGACCAGGTTCCAAGTGTCTGTGCCCCTGCACCACAGGCACCGGAGGCCCCGCATCTGGTGGGCAAGGCCTGTAAGTGAGGCTGCATCTACCACCTGGGTTTGGTGTGAGCTTAGAACCACAGGGATGGGGAGAGAGGTGGCCCGCAGAGGAGACTCACTTCCCCTCCCGGCTGACCTGTCACATCGACTTCAGCTTTCCTGCCCCTCCCTAAATGCCGAGTCCAGTCTCCTTTCTACCTCAGAGCCAGTGTGGGAGTGATCTCATGGTGAGGGTGGTGCCGCCCCAGGTGCTCAGCCTCCTGATTCCAACGGCTCTGGTCACGAGTGCCTGAGTCCACTGACTGTCACAGCTCTGGGTCGCACCCTCACTTGCAAGTGGCCAGTGGGAAAGTCCAGAGTGGAGAGTGCGTACACCATCCTACAGGCTGCCCTCGGACACATGGATGCCGTGTGCTGACCCTGGGAGCTGGCCTTCAGAGGCAGCTTCCTGGTCCTGGGGTAGAGAGAGGCTGTCACTCAACCTGGGCTGGAGGACCAGGTCCTGCTAAGGGAGTCTGCTTTTCTCAGGGTGGTGGGTCATTCCAGACAGACAAGGTGCCCTGCCCCAGCCAGCATGGTGATGTGCTCTGGAGAGGAAAGGTGGCCAAGGCGGTGTTGTGAGAGCCACAGACAGGCCCTTGGTTTCCAGGTTGTCTGGTCTCCCATCCCCACCTCTACCCCTGTAGAGGTGACTGAGCCCCTCTCAAGTTTTCCATCCAAATAATGGAGTTCCTAGAGAAGCCAACTAGTACCCCTTGCCCAGCCCTTCCCTGGGGAAGGTCACTTCTTCCCTGACCACCCCCTCCATGAAGTTTTCTATTCGGTTATTGCTCAGCTTGGCAGTCTTTAGACTGAAATTCCTGAATAGACGAGAATTGCTGAACACAAGTCTGGTATCAATTGTCTCTGAGTTCCCATTAGCTCAAGCAGCCTCAAATGTGCCCATATGTAGAAGTGATAAATTGGGGTAGGAAAACATTTGCTTCAGCTGAATAGGTTGGGTGACCCCAAATTAGGTGGAGTCTATTGAAAAAGGAAGTGAGAAGGGAAGTTGCTGTTTTGCCTTTCTCCAGGACCATCCCCTACCTCCCTGGTCCCTGGAGTTCCTTCTATCTGCATGAGTTTTGGAGCCTTTCCTGTTGGCCAGTGTACTGCCCTCCCCTCCCACCCCTCCCTGCCCTCTGGCATCTGCCCGAACCTCATGTTTCTGTGATATCTAACCCCCTCCCCGCAAAGGTGGATTTTTAATTGCCCCAACAGGTGTTTGCACATCTGCACTTACTCCTAAATGTAGGTGCAGCCCCCTCTCCTACACTGTGCGGGTTCTCACTGTGTGGCTGTTAGTCAGGCTCATGAGGTGACTGTGCCTGGGGCTCTCCTGCTGCCTCTGGTGCTGCTGCAGGAGCCCTGGGCAGGGGTGGGGCATGAGTGTCCATTTCCTCTTGTTGACTGTCTTCCATATCATATGTGTCCACAGTTAAAATCCATCCCTTGGCCTTAACTTTGGAGTTTGGAGATTATATGCAAACATGTGTAAAGGCTCATGAATATGGATGACACTGGAATTTTATAAATTCTAAAATAAAACCCAAAACCAGATGCAGTGTGCCGAGGCTCGTTTTATCACACCACATGTGTTCTCAGTCCATGGCACTCGAGTGGTCAGACATCCATAAACAGTTCTCATCTTTGGTGCGATTCTCCCAGCTGGCATCTGTAGTTCTCAGCACCACATTAACTGACTGCCCTGCAGGGGCCATGGTGGGAGGCCAGCAGTGGTCACAGCTGGTTCAGTACCTTGCTACTTCACTCAGCTCAGGATTCTGCCTGAATGATCTCTATCAGCAAACTGAGGTATCCCCAGGACTGGCTCCCAGCCTCCAGGCAGATACAGAGGAACCACCTGTCATATGAGGGAGGACTGAGGCGTCAAGGGTCAGAGCTACAGGGAGTGCACATGGCAGCAGGATGGGCCCATGATGCACCACCCCTGAAGGTCGGGGTCAGACTCTGGGTTCCACTGCATTAGAGTCCAAGGTGGTGGCCACTCTGGGTGGGAAGGGGTTAGGTGGGAGGGTCCATGCCAGGCACTAGGCCGATGATAGGCTGTCTAGATTGACATGCTGACTACAATGTGTGTGTTCACTTCAAGAAAACCTGAGTTAAGACTCAAGTATTTTCTTATGTTCAATAGATTTACTCTAAAATTACAAAGTTTGAGAAAGCAATAAAGCAACCACTGGAAGAATACTTGTGGATGTTGTGAGGACACTGCATAATGGAACCATTTGGCCTCACCACTGGGCGGCTCTGCTGCTCAAAGGACGGTCCCTTTTCTCAAAGTGGATGAATGAGTGATGCCCAAAAGCAGTGCCAATGGCACCTTTGCTCACCTCATTTGGAAACGCTGCCTGCAGTGCACACAGTGCTGCCTGAGGCCAGAGCGGTGGGTTTTTAATGGCACCACATTGGCAAGAATGCTGTGCAGAGGTATCGATGGGCCCTTCTGGAGGAAGTTTGACAGTGCATCTAGGAGTGTGCCCCGAGGAAGCCAGTGGTGCGCACAGTACTTCGGGAGGTTTATTCCAGCATGAATTACAAGGTACAGGTGGAGAAAACACACACACCCAGCAGGGAGTGCACAGCCAAGGGCAAGCACCCTGTGGTGGAGTCACGCATGGGCACAGCGGTTAACTGAGTTGATGGAAGGAGGATGTGGAAGGGGGTTCACAAGCTGGTCAGTGGACAAGGTCCAACTGGATGCACTAAGGTGCTCCCAACTTTGGAGATGATCATGTGTAAACATACAGGAAACCAGTGTTTCACAGGTCAGGGAATAAAATTGAGTCTTCTTCCAAACCTTCCTCAGCCTCAGGCTGTAGTCTGGGAGGGAGCTGGGCAGTATAGCTTTTTAGCCTGAGAGGCCACTCATAGTGGCTGGGAGTGAAAGGGGGCACCAGGTTCAAGAAATGGTGACAGAATCAGGAGCCCTTGGCTAGGAATGGGGAGTGGAGAAAGTGGGTGAGGGGTTGAGCTGACTCCAGGTTGTGACCTGGAACATAAGAGTGCTGGGGGGCAGGCAGGACTCTGTGTAAGCAGGTGGGCCTAGAGAGGGGTCATTCCATCATTCCAAGGACAGCAGGATCAAAACACCAGAGAGGACACAGGACCCAGAGTCCACTGGCTGGATTGGCAGACGAGTCATGTGAGGGCTGATGGGCAAGTAGGAAGTGAGCAGGGAGAGGCAGGGGAGGCTGTGGGTGCAGGGACCCAGGATGGCACGAAGTGGAGGGTTGAGGCCTGGAAGGGCCACAGCTCTGAGTAAAGATGTAGGGGAGTAGGCAGTGTGCCCAGAGGTGGGTGGGGGTGATGGGAACAAGTCTCAGGGTGGAGCCATTCTGCCCCTGGGTGAGTGCAAGGAGAGGATACTGGCTCATGGGGCTGGGAGGGAGATGGTGGAGGCATGCCCCAGCCCACCAGGTTCCCCTGCTATAGTCGCCTGGCTTTGGGTACTCCAAAGGGGTGGCCAGTGGGGGCTGCAACCAGGACCTGGGAGGCAGGGCACAGGAGCAGGGGCCCAAGGCAGCTGAGGAGGGGAAGGAGAGGAAGAGGCCTCTCATCTCCAGGGCGTGAGGGCTCTGCACTCCAGGTGGGTCTGACTCCAGGCCCCTCAGCCCCCAACATGATCCCTGCGACCTCAGAGGGAAGGGACTGGCGAGGCCCGGCTGGCTTCTGGTCGCCTAGGCTGTGGGCCCATACTCTCCTCTGAGGCTGAGGGCTGGTCGTCCTTGGCTCCATTCGTCCCCAAGAGAGCCTGTGTCCAGGAGGGTGGCCAAGGAGAGTGATTAAATGTACCCCGGCCTGCTTGGCAGCAAGTACCTGGCTGGGGCCACTCCACAGTGGGTGCACGAGGGCTGTGGGTGGGGGCTCACCTCGTTCTCAGCCAGTGCCTGCTTGGCCAGGTAGTATTCCCGCTTCACCTTGATCTGCACAGACTCAGGGATGTCAGGTACCAGGAGGTCGAGGATCCGGCCGATGGAGAACACCACATGCTGGGAGAGGGGACAGGACCAGCCGTGGGAGAGGGCACCCTACCCAATGGTAAAACAAGTGCCCAGAGTGGCCTTCATGGGCTCAGGTGTGGACACCTGCTTCCCAGGTGTGGGTGAACTGAAAAGCAGCAGTGTCATGGCCCCATGGAGCTTCCCTGGGACACTACACGATACCCAGAGCATCCTGATGTCCGCACAGCCCTGTGACAGGCTAGGCAGGGATTGCTCCCTTCTCCAGATGGAGAAATGATGCAGAGAGGAACTGTGATTCGGCCACAGTGACAGAGCGGTATGACCAGGGCTCTATTCCTTTGGACACACCAACCCCCAAACCACATGGTGAGATTAGGCAAAGCATGAGGGTAGGGGAATCATGCTAAGGCCAAGAAGAGGAAGCCAACAGAGGGCCTGGGAGGTGCCCCAGCTACCTCAAACACAATGACAAAGGCCAGGCGGATAGCCAGAAGGTTCCAGTAGGTCCCGGAATAATGCCCATCGTCTTCCCTGAATGCCCGATACCTGCAGGAAATATGGGACTTGGTGTGGGGATCGTGGCAGATGACTTCTTGGCATCTCCACCTTTGGCCTCCCTGATGCTAAAATTCTGGGCCTCTGACAGCACTTTTAGCTCTTATGTTATGGTCCCAAAGGGGAGGATGAGCTGGGTTATCCCATTCCCCCACTAGGCTAACCTGGGCCCACTACTGTAGCCACATAAGTTAATACCCCAAATAGATGTGATTAACAAATGACAAACTGTTTCTGTGTGTTTTTAATAGTAAAATTAAAACTGTAGAACAATAAGATGGACTGATGGATGCTCAATAGGTTGTGGTAAAGCACATGAAGATCCTTGTCACACACAAAGAAATGAGACAAAAATAAATTCCTTCAGGATTTGTTAGAAAAGTGTATAGTTAAGATTGTATGCTAAAAATATAAGGGTAGTCCCTAAAATAATAAAAATATACAGCATCAGTTCCAAATGAGTGTAAAGAGAAAAAATACAGAACACTAATTCATCAGGAAGTAGAAAAGGAATAAAAAGGAAAAAGAATAATGGAGAAAGACCAGCTGGTGTTGCTCAGTGGTTGAGCACTGACCCATACACCAAGAGATTGATGGTTTGATTCCTGCTCAGGGCATATGCACAGGTTGCAGGCTCAGTCCCCAGCAGGGAACATGCAGGAAACAGCTTATCAATGATGTTTCTCATCTCTCATTGAGGTTTCTATCTCTGTTTCCCTCTCCTTTCCTCTCTCTCTAAAATCAATAAAAACATATTTTAAATAAAACAATAAAGAAAAAAAAGAATAAATGGAGAAAGTATCCACTAAAAAGAGATGACAAATATGAACTTGTATGCAACTAAGAACCTCAAAATACATAAAGCAAAACCTGACAGAACTACCTGAGAAGACTGAAAAGCTTTAATTCACCTCTATTAGAATCTGATAGAATAAGCAGGGAAAAGGGGGAGATGAAAATCCGAACAATAAAATTAAGAAGTCTGGCCTACTAGTATATAAAGAAACTTGCTCCAAAATTAACAGTGAAAAAAATATGTTTTCAAGTTCACCTGAAATATATGCAAAACCCTATATATATGTTATAACTTTCAGAGAGGAAGGGAGAGGGAGAGAGAAACATCAATGATGAGAGATAATCATTGATTGGCTGCCTACTGTATGCCCCACACCGGGAATCAAGCATGTCCCCTGACCAGGATTCGAACCATGACCTCTTGGTTCATAGGTCAACGCTCAACCACTGAGCCATACTGGTTGGGCAATGACCTTTGTTTTTGAGTAGCAAACAGATTTTGTATGGGTGGATCTAAAGGGTATTATGCTAAGTGAAATAAATCAGGCAGAGAAAGACAAATATCATATGATTTTACTTATTTATGGAATCTAAAGAACAAAACAGCAAAATGGAAACAGACTCTGATTCAGAGAACAAACTGTTGGTTGCCAAAGGAGAGGAGGGTGGGAGGATGGGTAAAACAGATGAAGGGGATTAAGAGGTACAAACTTCTAGCTATAAAATAAATAAGTCACAGGAATTTATTGTACATGCACTGTAGGGAATATAGTCAATAATATTGTAATAACAATATTATTGTTACACTTGATAGCTAGATTTATCATGGTGTATAAAAATACTAACCTGAAACTAACATAATATTGTATGTCAAGTATAATTCAATTTTTAAAATAAGGCTGGCCCTGGCCAGTTTGGCTCAGTGGATAGAGTGTCTGCCTGCGGACTGAAGGGTCCAAGGTTTGATTTCAGTCAGGGGCACGTGCTTGGGTTGTGGGTTCAATCCCCAGTAGGGGGCGTGCGGGAGGCAGCCAATTGATTCTCATCGCTGATGTTTCAATCTCTCTCTCCCTCTCCCTTCCTCTCTGAAATAATTTTTTTTTTTAAAAAAAAGGCTGTTTGAGAACTTACTCTCCCAAATAACTCATGGATAAATAAGAAAATCACAATGGAAGTTATGAAATATTTAGAACTGAAGGAGAGCAGATATGTTATCAGACCTAATGGAATGTGACTTGTAAGGGATATATTCAAGTAAATTTATAGACATTAATTTGTTTATTAAAACCCAAGAAATACTAAAAATGAATAAGCTAAGGTTTCAACTCCAGAAAATTGACTTTTAAGAGAAAGGAAAAGACACAAACTATATCTGGAAAGAAAATGCAGCCATAACTACAAAAACAGAAGAGCTTAAGAAAATCTAAGCGAATATTATGAATAAATTTGTGTTACTTTTTAAAAAAAAATTTTAAATCCTCATCCAAGGATAATTTTTCCATTGATTTCTGGCAAGAGTGGAAGGGGGGAGTGGAGGGAGGTGGGAAGAGAGAGAGAGAAACATCAATGGGAAGAGTGACACATCGTTTGGTTGCTCTCCCCCCCCCCCCCCCCCCCCCCCCCCCCCCCCACCTGATGTGGGCAAGCACACTGGGGAACCTGCAATCTTGCCCTTGACCGGGGTTTGAACCCTTGACCCTTAGGTCGGCAGGCCAATGCTCTACTGAGCCAATGTGGCCAGGGCTGTGTCACTTTTAAAGCTTAGCTGAGTTTTCTGTAAAAACAAAACAAAACTACCAAAATTGACTGAAAATTACCTAGAAAAAAGGGAACTATAGCCCTAGCTGGTTTGGCTCAGTGGTAGAGCAGTGGCCTGCGGACTGAAGGGTCCTGGGATCTATTCTGGTCAAGGGCACATGCCCAGGTTGGGGGCTCAACCCCCAGTGGGGGGGCGGGGGGCGTGCAGGAGGCAGCTGATCAATGATTCTCTCTCATCATTCTCATCATTGATGTTTCTGTCTCTGTCTCCCTCTTCTTTCCTCTCTGAAATCAATAAAAATATATATATATTTTTAAAGGGAACTATAAGTTGACCCTTGAACAACACGAGCTTCAACTATGAGGGTCATATGCTCAGATTTTCCAAAAATTCAACCAGGGTTGTTGGAGTGTCAGCT